AACAACAACAACAAGTCAATAAAAGCCTTTGTGTTTATGCAGTGAGGTGACAAGGGGACATTGAATGTTGGGCTCCGTTTCTTGTGGAGAGGATATGCATGTGTTCAATGTTCACATTTCTGACGCTGGCTACCAGAATGGTTGGCCCTCACTGATGGCCCAGTTTCAGTGAAAGGCAGCACCGTTGGCCACCACTACATTGGGAAACCTCATGTCATCCTGGACTCCATCTCTCCCTGTGACCACCCCAGCGTGTTGATTTATTCTCCTCGACCTTCTGAGCCCACATTTTCTCCTGTGCCCATGGTCCTTGCTCTAGTTCAGGCCTTGATCTCACTTTCTTGGTGGCTTCTCACTGCCCTCCCTGCCTCAGTCTCTCCTCCTTTCCCTTCATCTTCCATCTGCTCTGGTGGGTCTGAGTTAAAATCTCAGCCTCTGCTCTGCATAACCAGAGAAACAGTGGTGGCTTTAGTTGCGAGGTAACCACCCCAAATCCCCCAACATCGGAGGATATCTAAGTACCTTGCATTCCTTATGTAAGTCTACTTCCCTTCTCCCTTCTGCTCAGTGGTAAAGCTTTAGGAAGTTCTTAAAACTGGCTGGCAATCCTGAGTCAAAAAATGAGGCATGAAGGAGAACTTGCCCTCCTCAGCCACTTGAGGAAATTGAGTCCCTGCCCTGTCCCTCAGGACCCATGCTACCATTCAGAGAGGGAGGGGGGGTGTGGGGCTCCTTTAGCCTCCTCATCATGAGAGCAGTCCCCTGAGGCAGACTACAGGTCTTGAGTGGGAACAAAGGCCAGACCTTGGACATAGCTTGCTTTAGAATTTGTGATTATTTAGTGGGCCTCCATTCATACTCTGAGCCTTCACAAATGTTGGGGATGAACCTGCTTAGGCATCTGCAATGATAAAAACTCACTAGACAGCTCTCATGAAAAGCCAGGGTTAGAAACCCCTTGTCTGTAGGATGTAATCCTAATCCTTCCATATGAAATACAAGGGGCTGTGGTCTCCTAGGTTGCTGGGTGATGCAACTGGTTTGCCTTCCTCTGCTAACCGGAAGTCACCAGAGATGAGGCCTGGAGATCTGCTGCTACAAAGATTACAATCAAGAAAAACCCATCCCATGGAGCAGTCGTACTAGGTAACACATGGAGTTACCATGAGTCAGGATTGACTCGATGTCAGTGGGTTTGGTTTTTGCTTCATAAAAAATTATGAACTCTTACTCCTCTGGATACACTCCTAGCCTTCCTAGACTTGTTTCCCATTTTTCTCCTTATACTCACTGTGTCCTACATAAAATATTCCACCTACATATTTATCCCATTCTCTCTAGGTACAAAATTTATTCATATTCCAAAACACAACTCAAACCACCTCTTCCATGAAACTCTCTTTGATCATGTAGCTAATAATCTCTCCCTCTTCTGTGATCCAATTTTTTTTTGCCCCACTACTATAGATTCTTGCACATCCTACTCTTTAATTATTTGTGTCCCAATATGATTTTTGTGACTAAAAAGCTTCATCCTAAAAGAAGAAAATCATGTTTGATTCATTTCTGTGTTCATTGTTAGGACTTGCATATATCATAAATATGCAACCAATGGCTAATTAGATGTTAATTCTTGAGCTCATTAAATTATTATCCTAGTAGCCAGATAGTGATAATTCCCTACACAATGGAATGTCCAAGCTTGTTGTGTCACTGATTCTTATAGGAGCCAGGTGTTGTCCTTTGCCTTCCTAGATAAGGAAGCTAAACCAAAAACAGAAGAAACAAGTCAAGACTGACTACTTGAGATCTCTACAGATAATGGCCACATAATTAGAGCAATGAAAGAATCAAAGTGCAGAGATGCTCAGCTCTTTACTGTTACCTTTATGTCCACATTCCATAACTGCTAACCAGAAGGCTGGCAGTTCAAACCCACCAGCCACTCCTCAGAAGGAAGGTTGGACAATCCTACTTC